AACAAAGAGCTTGCACGTCACAGAAACGTTGTTGTGAAATCTTCAAGAATTGTGTCACTTCTTCCAAGAAGCGTGAGTTGAAGACACATGTTGGGCTTACTTGCATTTCAGTTGGAGGTCCCACAAACCATTCCAGCTCAAGATAGAGAGCTAAGTGAATCAGAGAGCTACTTTTACAAAGCAGATTATCATAATTGGGAGCAACACCATTACATGATTGGTAGGTAACAAAGATGTTCTGATGAAACTTAGGTTCACAGAAACATGAAACTCAAATCTCCTCTCGTATTAGGATAAGGCAATGCCATTTCCTTTTCCACATTTGTGTCCTCTTGTTCTCCCAGTTAGTCTCACAACAAGCTACAGTTTTCTTTCTTACATATGCACTTCACAATGACCCTTGCTCAGCTGCCCTGCTCTTACCCTGACTCCTTTTCTCTTGCAGGATTTCCCTTACACACACACATAGCTATAGAACTTTGACAGAATTCCAGAACTCCTCATCTGAACACTCAGAAGCTTTGTGCTGCCTAGAGAGATGTGTGTTAGTAATGAGGCTTCCCTGATGTATAAAGTTTTTGATCAGCTAATGCCCACAACATTACTGTAACATAAACATACTGTCCCTATTTATAGATACAAAAGAGGCAAGAGAGAGGTTTACATGGTTTGTCCAAGTCAGAAAACTGCCCAAGTAAAGGCTTGTGAATACCTGATTCCCAAATCATCACATACAATGAATAAATAATCTAGTTAAAGCAAAACAATAACGAAACAAAAGTGTATTTCAGTGGACAGCCGTCAGGGGAATTCTGTCCTCACCTGACTGTGGCTTCCCTCTCATGCCAGCTCTCCAGGGGCAGCAGGCTACCAAATACTGCTCAGCTAGACATGACTCTTTAGCACATAGTAGACTTTCTAAATAGCAGGACATTTTCACCTGAACTCTTAAACCAGCTTTGTTCCCAAGCCTTCTACAATTTAGAGTTAAGATGCTCAGAACTCCCAGGTCGTCATGAGTTATGCTTTGAAATTGGCTTTTCTGCACTCCAAAAACAACACACAAAGGCCATTAGGGGACCTAAAGACCTGCTTAAGAATTGAGTCTAGTCTCCTGCAGAACCCACAAGGATGAAGATGCCAATTTACACCTTGAACTTTCACCGCCAATGCTCTTTTTACTCATAAGACAATTACACCATCAGACAACCCTCAGTCTGACTAGCAAGCCTGCATCTTCAGTCAAATCCTTCAGAAAGCCTGTCAGTATAGCTAACTTTCTTACTGTAAACAAAGCTGAATGTATCCTACATTTTCCTAGACACTGAAAGGAGCTCCCTTCTCAGTGTTGGGAAAGTGTCAGGTCTCTGGAAGAAATCAGACCACTCACAGAAGAAACTTTTCTACCGATGTTACAGGTAGAATAAAGAGTACACGGCCTAAGCCTGCAAGGTACACTATGTGAAAGTAGAATTTAAAGTTAATTCTTTGTATTCCAACCTAGGGCTTTTGACACCAGGTAGATGTTTACTCTTCAGTATATTTGCAATGTTAAATACAAAATGTTTAAAGAACACCCCGAACATGTAGCTGTAAGAGCAGCAGTCAGATATACAGAGTAGACAAACCAGTTTCATAACATTCCAATATTGCTGTCCTGATATATCTAGCAATAAATGAGCATAAAGCTAGTAACAGCTATAAAGTGCAGCCTTTTCGGTGACTACACTTAAGCCTCTTCAGCCCAAGACAGATGCTTACAATTCCAACTGCTGTGTGGTAGGTAAACGTTCTTCCTTGGCAAATGCATCCCATTGACCTCTATGGACACATGAAATCAGCATTGTTACATATTGCTGAAATATTTAGGCAACTTTGTTTTGAAGTATTTAAGACACTCCTATTTCATATTCTATTCATTACTTTTATTGGACTGGACCACCGAGATGTCTTCCATTCTTTCTTTTCTCTTCCAGCTAACTTTTCACTTTTTTGTTCTCTAAATCCCAGATCTCTTATCCTCAGGGGGCAGAAAGTACCCAGGTTACTAAACCTGGCTAAGAAATCACCTTCACAGCAAGGGCAGAAAAAATTGTGCACCCTACTGACTCAACATTAGTTTTGCCTTTTAACTTGACTAAAATTGAACTACAACACATTAAAAAGATTCAATCCCAGTAAAAGCAAAGAGAATCATGATGAAATAATACTTTGGTCAGTTTACAACTGCTTCATGCCATAGTTCTCAAGTGTTAATAGAAGTGTCAACCACAGGCTAGTTATCATAAGGCACTCTCCTTGCATGACATCTATGAACAATTCTCTCAAACACACTTCACAATTACTTTATATTCTTTTGGGGGGTTTCGGAGGATGTCTGTTGTTACTAACAGCATGAAAATAACATCCCAACAGTGACAACAGCATACTATTTTCACAGTCCTTTTATTTCCACCCTTGAAAGAATAATGAACATTATTTCCACATAAGTAAAACTCAAACCCCAACTGGGGGACTGAAGTGAAGACTCCTTGTCAATAAAAGGTACTATTTTGAGCAGCAGCTAATGATTTATGCATGTAAAAATAGCCTTTACCATCACAATAGAGGGAGGAGGAAGAGGGAAGTAACCTCTCCTTTCACTCCAAAGCAGACAAAGAGGAAGCAGAGATGCAGAGTTACCCCTGAAAGAAATGTGTATTACATATTCAACACAGCAAATACAGTTAAGATGGAATTCTTTCCTCGGCAGGGAAATAAAAATATTTCTCTTCAAAACATCTTCCCAGGAAATATTAGTATCAGATATAAAAAAGTTCTTTTCAGAAAACTATTGAGAAGTGGACACTGCTACACTAAGCTTCCCACTAAAATGAAACCAATTTTAAAACCAATATAGGCATATAATACAAACAGAAGAGCTAGTCTGCGAAAAAGAAAAGCCAGAATAAAATAAAAAGTGTTTATTGCACAGACTTCTTTTTCCTGAGGAGATCTGAAAAATATATTCTACTCTCTCTGTCCCATCCCCCTAATCCTCTTATTTGCAGATATTCTCTCCACAGATATTTTATTACGCTTCATTTCTGAAATCCACGTCAGTCGCATTCAGTATATTTTAGCAGCAAGGCTACACACAGCAGTACATCTTTTTATTCCACCTGGGAGAAGTCTTTAGAAAATGTACATAAACACACGCTGAAAGTAGCTCTTGCCTTTTAAAGACAAGAGTCATCTGTTTATATACTCCATGAGGTGAGAAATATTTTCACAGTTTTCAATTTACGATAGTAGTAGGCATTTCCAATCACTCCAATTTTCAGCTTTCCCAAGTACTATTTGTTATTTTCTTGCACAAAGTCTCATCTGATCTGGCCTGCTCATGATAGTTCAGCATGGGTACATTTGTAGTCAATACTTTTTCAAATGCATACAGCTTTCCATTCTATGCCCCCAAAAAAAGAAAAAACAGGACAGCAGTGACCACTGTATAGGGAAGATAATTTGATTTTACATAGTGCCCTTCATTGTGCAGCTGTCCCTAAGCACTCTACAAAAGAGTAAGCCTCCTAGATTTACACCATAGGGGTAAATACAGCAGCTGTTCTGCCCTCCACAAGAGCTCAGCTCTAACCAAAGTAATATCTTAGAGAGGCTGCACGTGAACCCAAGATGCCAGGGAAACATTTAGCCATTATATCCTTAGGCATAATGCTACATGTACTCAGATTTCTGAAGCATGGGAAATCAGTACTGTAAATGTATGTTGGATGTAATGTATCTCTTGACTAAAAAAAAAAAAAAGTAGTCCTTGACATCTGAGATTTCTGTTGCATTTTTCATACCACACCTAAACTCTATGTATAAAAGAATGCAAAACTCTATGCAGAGGCGAGTACTCCATCTACTTCCAAGTGCTGAGGCCCAAACTGAGACCTCTGGAGTGACCGGTGCTTCTACACTAGACAGTACACTAGAGGAAAGTCTCTAAACCAGGAAAATCATTGCCTAAAAAAAAATCAAAGAAACATTCCCAAAGACAAAAGCTTTCTCACTAATAACTTACTATTTGTAAGGAAAAGTTAGTCCTCTATTGTAAGCCACAACCTAACTTTTTCTGTTCTTTATCCTCCATTTCCATCATGTGCCAGCAATATTAACCTTTTGTTTTGCTCACCTCTGGACTCAGTAACAAGCTGAGATAAAGCTGTCTGTCTATATTACCATTTCCTCTCTTTTTACTTAACAGCTGGCTTTTTTTTGGTTTTGTTTTTCATGAGCACTTTAAGTATAGCCAGGCCAGATACAATCCTGCACTAGAAAAAAATGGCAGATTATTTTTACTATGAAAGCACAAAGTTCAGTTCCATACACTTTATTAATCTTGCCTCACTGAATGAGGACCTGTCAAAAATCTTCATGCATACACAATTCTAAAAATGGAAGCTTTCCAGAAGGAGAGACTTTCCTGCGTGATGAAATACACAAGTTAACAAAACAGGATGTAGTACAGAAAGCACACGTGCATCCTTAGTTCAATTGTTACAGCATCAGCCCTTCCTAGTTGAACTAGTCTTTGGGGTGAAGCTGTACTTGTTTTTCTAAAGCACATACGCTCTGCTCCTAACTCTATGAAGCATGCAGAGACAACCGGGTACAAAAGTGAATACAACTCAGGAAATGGCACACAGTTGTATATTAAAGAACATGGTAAACTGCTAAGCCTATTACATAAAGATTATTGTCTACTTGAAATGGATTACAGTCAGGGTGGCCAAACAAGTTCTAAAACATAAATTAACAGGCTTCTATGCACCTGATAGACAGATTAATCAAAAATCTAAAGAAGAAGGCTGAAAACCATCTCATTTGATACTACACTTCCTTAGTGGATAAGAGGAATTCTGGAGTTCTGAGATTCAGAAACAAACAAGCAAGTAAGCCCTCCTCTTCCCTCTGCTCCACCCTGCACAAAGACAGACACAGAAAGGAAACATTCATTTATAATGTCAATGTTTATTTACATGAGAGAAGGTTTACACACGTTGGAAAGTTGTTTCAACAGGAACCCAACAGTTAGTGCTTTTGCCAGTCTTCAAAAAAGGGACAACTTCAAGATTTGAAGATGCAGCTTCAGAACACTTTGACAATCACTTGGGGAAAAAGTACCAGGAATCGACTACAAAAAAAAAACCCAAACACATCAAGAATGACATTAGTTCTATACAACTATCCATACCCAAACACTTGAAAAAGCAATATTCTGCCCTTTCAGCTATCTCCCCTCCCATAACAATACTTCCGGGTAAGCTCCATCGCCAGCCCATGCAAAGCATGGCCTCAAAATAGTACTTGTTCACTTTAACAGTTTGGCTGAACAATCCTGCAACAAGTTAGAACACTGATGTGACCATCCCTGGAAAACATCAAAGATCAGGCAGATCAGCTCCCTGTCAGAGGTCTGAGATGTAATACTTCAGTAAATAAATGCTATTTATTGGCATGCCATATAAGGGCAAATGGAATGCAACTTGCTTTCCCATGACATGGATTACACAGATGTTACTTTGCAAACAATCTGGAACTTGACTCATGACTAAGTTTCTCTTAGTGTTTCTGTCACTCCCTCCATCTCAAAAAGCACGTATATCTTCTCTAGCGTTCCTGCCAGTAGAAAAATATCTTCTTTTAGAAGTAGTTAACGAAAATGAAAATGTAGGATACATTCTTCTTGAAGAAAAACACATGTTCCATTCACATGAAAAACAGTTGTAACAGTGAAAAGAGAATTCTGTCTTTAGAACTTACACTTGAAAAGTACAGTTATGTCAATTTTAGGAAAAGGAGCTGTTTATTTGATTAGTTAGCTACTGTGAGGAATGACAAAAACTTATGGCAAAGCAACATTTCTCCTTGAAAAAAAGGATAAATGTCATGCGTTTGCCTTCCATGACCAGTGACAGAAAAATTTAATCTTCTCATCTTTTTATATGGTCTATGCTTTTGCTCCTACTCAAAAATAATCTCCTTCCACTAACCACCTATGAATTTCTATTCATGTTCTATTTAACAGGGGACAGGCACTACAGTCTGACAGGATGTAACTTATCATTCTCATGTGCACAAAATACCTTTTTACAATGACAGTTTTTATGTCAACTTTTAAAGCAAATGATTAGAAAAACTGTATTGCATTTGGGGAAAAATACCTTCTGGGGAAACAGAATCTCCATTCACATGCACTGGTGCCTAAAGAAAGACAAAAAAAAGAAAACCAATAGAAATAACATATCAGTAATCAGTTTCACAGAGAGCACCCAAACTGAAAGCTGTTTTACTGCTGAAGTCAAGAGATACTAAGAAAAAACTTTCTGTTGCCCCTCAGGACAATATCCTACCTTACAGTTTCCCCTGCCAGCTACTGTGCAAATTTCTTTGTTGCTCATAAATGACATAACAAACACACTAATTATGAGTGATAAACACCTTACCTAACGTAAAGGGGATTTTCCTACTGTATTGTCTCTGAGGAAACAGGATCTGCTGTTTGCATACTAAAGAGTAAAAATGTCTTTACATAACTATACATGTTTCAGTATAAGGCATGCATGTGAATATACACACACACACACAATTTACATTACATATATGCATTTTTAAATCAATGTGGAATCATACTCTCTTACAATTACATTTTGACAGGGTAGGATTCAGTTCTGTAGAAAGTGACAAATTGTTTTAAAATGTAGGTCTGACATTTCAAAGCTGGATACACCATTATCCAATTCCAGTATTACACAGTATGTCTTAAAGGACATGCTGTAACTTAAAGGACAAAAATTAAAGCCAGTTTTAATACCGGCTGGAAGAAACCTGCCTCACGATGAGGATGCCGGTTACTGCATAGCAACAATCTTCCACTGCCCTTCCGACAACATTTCCAACTGACATAACCAATGAAAAAGAAACAGAGATATCCTGGCACAAGGAATCCTGCAACGCTCACCCACATGCACAAATCAAGCGCAAAAAACAGGTGGATGTTGGCCTTTGTTATGAGACAAGCCCACACCAACTACGCTTACCCAGCAGATAAACCCAGGAATAAACCACTTGGGTAACCCATGCAAGAAAAGAAACTGCCTCAAAGGCAGTGTTCACAGCTGTTTGAAGCTTCAGGAGAACAGAACTGCACAGTGACCACATGAATGAAAACTTTGCAGTACCCTGCAGGCAGGCAGGCTGAGCACAGCGCAGCACTCAGACTGAGCTGCACTGGTGTGAAATTCCCTTGCCAGTCTCCCTGTGTCCAAGCAGGCATGGGGCTCAATCCACTCAAGAGCCAGTTGAAGCCTAGAAGGAAGGAAGGGGAAAACAGTATACTTTTTCCCCAATTTACCCAGGATAACTACCTGCACATGGGGGTTATGTGACTGGTCTGAAAGGACGTGCCAGCATGACACACGTAACACAGGTCTTCCAGTCTTTATCACCAGAGCATCCCCTCTCTTTTCAGCAAAACCAAAGCTTTATCACATAAGGCAGGGAGAACCAGTGGTCACTGCATACAAGCAGATACCTGCCACTTCTGGGGTAATTGCTCCGAAAGTTTGAGATAAGGACTCAGCACCTTCCCTCCAGGACCAGATCAAACCTCATCCCACTGAACCAGAAGTCTCTTCGCTATGCAGCCCTTACACCTTGAACACTAGTTAAAAACCAAACAAACAAATAAAATGTATAAAAACAACCCCCCAAACACAAACCAAACAAAACAAACTCCAGGTTAAAACCTCATCAATCTTTTGTTTCACAACTAGCCATTGAAGAGAAAATTTTGCCTCTGCTAGTCCCAAATGGAAATGTCCTCACAGAAAACATGTAGGGAGAAAGGCAGCTAACTGACTTCCCTGCTTAGATCTGAATTATTTGATACACATTTGTAAATACACAGATTCAAATTTTGTTGGGCTTTTCTTTGAAATAGCAGGAAAAGCCAAAGCCAAGTATTTTCCCTTGTAAGAAATTGTTCTGTATTTTATCAAAAGAAATGTCATCGAGAAAAGCCTTCCTAGTTCACTTTCCAGTCTTTCCAGTATTATAAGCGAAGAATTATGTGATAAGTCTGAGAAATGCTGCTCTACTAACTATATATAGATTGTCCTGGAGATTTTCCAACTTGCAAAGTCCTCAGCAGCTTCTTCACAGAGCAAGTGAGCAAGCAGTTCTTAGGATTAATGTTAAACAAAGGTTTGGCTGTCCTGGACAGTTTTACAGATGGCAACACTTAAAAGCCTGAAATAAACAGTACATCTTAGCACTAACACATTGAGCTACAAAGCTCTATTCCTCCTGGGTTTAGTTTTCAACATATACTAACATTGGAGCCAAGAAAGAGATGAAACAGTTTTCAGATGCTATAGAACACTAGAAATTTTCCCCACCTAGTGTTAAAACCTAGTTGCAGGGGGCTGATGTAATGCTGGCTGGTTCAGATAGTCAGTACATAGATTATGTTCTATCTCTTTGGGACTGACTGGACATGGCAACTTGACCAGGAAATCATTCCTAGTTTGCCACCAATACAGATGACAGTACACATGCCCACCATCTAGAATTAACTCAGGGGAGTGGAAATTCCTCAACACAGCCAAACCACTCTAATCCCACACCTCTAAAAAAATGAAAGGTCAAATAATAGAACAATAAATCCTACTGAAATCAACAGGACTTTCTTGGGAACTACCCAATCAAAATCTGTATGAAATTCTGATTAGTGAAGAATTTTGGTAAGCATTTGGTAAGTATTTGATTGGTTTCCATTTGGCTCTTACTTAAGTTCCTTTGCTCACCATAAAAACTGTTTCGTAACAACATTGAGTGTTGCCTTTTGGATTTTGGTGGGGTTTTTGCTGGTTTGGTTTGTTGGGTATTTTTGAGAACTCAAGATACCTGATCTATGGCAATTATCACCCACTTAAAAATTCCATAACTGGAGTCTGACCTAGGACACCAAATTGTGGGGAACCACCTCTCACTGCACAAGTAGCTCAGAAATTTTGCTGTAGCTGAAATATGTTTCTCACTGTATTTGCACACAAAATCTCTACCTCAGCCTTCACTCTTCTGTATCCAAAAGTTAATAGATGGACATAAATTAGAAGAAAATGTATTTGCGTTTAGTTTAGAAACACAAAACACACAAACAAAACAAAACAAACTCCAAACAGACACAGGCAGCTTTCATTTAAAATTACCACAGACATTAAAATTCTATGGCCAACACTCACGTACTTTCACTTCAGTCTGAAAGACATGAATGCCTGACAACCAAAGTGAGCAGTGTAGTGTACTAGACAAAAAGATACCTGCCTTAAATATAAGCATGGAGGTTGACTTGCACATTTAGAGCCTGACTGTCCACCATTCATATTTCAAGAAGGTTTTACTTTTTTTTAGTTATTGTAGATTGGAAATTGCACGGAGTATGAACAGTATTTGGAAGAGTAATGCATCTTTTCCCTGTCTGAAAAGTACCAAGTACCTTACAAAGACAGTGTTAAAATACTTAGACTGAACTGGTACAGAATGAGAGAAATGAATACATGATGACAACTTCACAAAAAGAGTTATCACTTAAAAGAAAACCATGTGAGGCACAAAAAAGACAGGAAGCAGTAATATTGTTATTAAAGTGTTCACGATAAAATAGACATTGAAGTCTGATATAAGGTACCTATTTTATTAACTGTTTTTACTAACCTTTCTCCCAAATTGCAGGAAAAGATCTGGTTTGTTATTAAGAGACAAAACAACAGAGACTGCTGATTTAAACAGATAATTATTTACCCTACATGCTTCAAAGTACAAACAGCACATAACACAAAAGGAAATACTTCTTTGCAGTTTTGTCACCATCCAAATGCGTTTGACTTTAAATTTTAGTTGCATTCAAACACTCACTAAAAGTTATTGTAAATTTCAAAGTAAGGAGGAAGTATTTGCTGACATATCTAAAACCATATCTGAATTTCAAAATGAGTTTTTCTTTCATTTAAATCTTACGGTCCCATTAATCAACATTCACAAGTGCAGTCATATAGGTACTTTTAAAGAAGCGCTGAAAGCCAGAGACCTGAGTAAGAAAACCAGTTAGGTTTGAGACTTCTTTATCACTTAAACCAACTTTTCTTTGAAACTGACAGTCTTATTTATTTGTGACAAAACACCACTCAGGACAACACACTTACTAGAAATGCTGTTGGAATGTTAACTTCACAGACAGTGGATGGTGTCTCCTTTGATACCTGAACTTGCATAATTACTGGGACTAGTGAAGCAAAACACTGACTGCCCAGGCAGCCACGCACACATGCAAAATACCTGCCATGCTCATGTGGTCATGAGCACAGGCTCAGTCGTGGCACATGTTTAAAAAGAAAGAAAAGTAATACTTGCGGGTACTTTTCTCCATGTAATTTCTGGTAGCCTTGCTTAATTTCTGGCATCCAAACTAGCATTTTAAAATGAAAGAAATTCTCCTCCAGTAGTATTTGCACATGAAAGCATCAGACCTGCGGGACATTTTTCTTGCCTGAACAGGAAACCTACATGTTTTAATTTTATGTTAATTCTCACAATATGACAAGCATTCTCTAAGAAACATTCAAAAAAACATGCCTCTCTCTTACAGCAATGTATTTAATTATGCAAGTAGACAAACAAAGGATCCCTTTAGTGATTAGCCACTACAGTCAGCTAGTCAATGAGTTCTAACACTGGGTGGTAACTCATGGCAACAGGGGAGACAGAGAAGACAGCCGGCAAGATACAAATAGCAGTCCATCTTGCTATTCAGGATCACAAGAAACAGCACTACAGAAGGGAAAAAAAGAAGAAAAAAGAAAACCCAAAGGAAAAAAAAACAACAACAAAACAAAAAAACCCACCAGAACAGTAATAAACCTGCCAGAAAGCAACAATTGGACCACTGTAATGAAAGGTTTATATTATAAGACTTACATTTCCCCCACAAGCTTTGTGCTCTTTTACTTTATGCCTTAGATTTTTGTTTAAGGACCATTTCAGTTGAGATATGTGATTTCAGTTTTGGAGCTCTGAATCTTCTTTTCCTATTCATTACTTTTTAAAAAAGGGCAGGACAAAAAAGTAAGTATCCTTACCGACTGCACAATTGATCGGGCATCCTCCTCGCTGCAACAAAACGGGCTGTCCCTCACCAAAACATTTGTGCTGAAAAATAGAATTAAAAACATGTTCTATCAATCACTGGAAGAGACACACACACAGTTAAACACTTATGGGGAAAAACACCTTCACATAGAGCTCAGGAATGTGTTCTTGCAAGAAATGTGTATCTGGAAAAACACGAAGTAACCAATGATGCTGGAAGGGAAGGGGGTGTGGAGGAGCTTTTTTTTATTTCTATGGGTTTGAGGGACTTCCGTAATATACATTCTATATTAATGCAAGCGGTGATCACACTCAGTGCTGCTAGCAGCTAACTTAGGTACATTTCAGAGGACTATAGTTAAGAAACTAACCTCCCCAAAAAAAGTTACCAGAGATAAACTACCACTTCCTGAGGTACTTGAAGACCTATATGGATGGCTAGCACAGATGGTCTGAATATCCCCCTGTCTCTTGTAACCTGCAGGATGGCCAGACTCTGTGGCAGATGCTGTGGTTTCTAGTAGCCTGCCTGCAGTATCTAACAAGAAGGAAAAAACAGGTCAAAATTCTCTCCTATATACGGCAGCAGATACCCGTGCTGCTTCCAGAGAGCAGACAAACTCTGGGACCAAGTATTTGTCAGAAATGTTTCCTCATTCATATATATTCTTTCATACCAAAAGTGAGTTTGGTCACGAGTTTTTAAGATCCTAAAGAGTAAACAGCAAAAAGTTCAACTCCTCAAAGGAATGGTGCAATTCTAATTATTTTTTAATTTCACCAATGTGAAGCTCAAAGTGCCTCTGAAATGATCAAGACTGACATTTGATGGTCTACATGCTAAAGCAGAATGACCAATCTGTCCAACTGGTAAGGTGTTGAATCAGCTCCAAGAAAGAGAAAGTCACATTTTCCCAATAAAGTAGAAGATGACAGTGACTCTCTGAGCACAGCTTCCTCCACAGCCCTTTCCCTCTGGTTTAGCTAATGGCAACTTACAGCCCTTGGAAAGCACCAGGCAGATACCTGCCTGCTCTTCAGGGCCTCTGGTGCCAGAACTGCCAAAGCAAACCAGTCCATAGAGCACAGTAAAGTCCATTTTAATTTGGATCAGGCCAAAGGCTAGTGAAGAACACCAATTCAGTTCTCTCATTCCAGAGAACAACTGAAAAATATGGAATGATAAGCTGCAAAAGAATTCTGCAACACAGCAGTGCAGCACTGAAGCATGGAATAAACAGTGACAAGAGGATCTGCATCAGATACCAAGATTTTCCCAAAATGGTCCTGAGTGAACACTGTGGGTCCATTTCTCAGAAGCTGAAGTAATTTGTATCACTTTATCAGCCTATTTTTGTAATCATTTACCACTAAATCATTGCCATAGAAGGTGCAATTAGCCAATTGGAGTCTATTATCAATTAAAACCATGAATATTCCTGTCACCTCAAAGTTAAAAAAAAACAACTAAGCAGTTAATGCACATCTGCCATATACTGACCACCACCAGTAGTAGCACAATAGAAAGAGGAAAAGACTGGATACTTACCACTTAACATTACCTCCATCAGCTTTTTTATGAAGCAAAGCTTTCCAGTATTCATGGGTGGATTTGATAATTTCAACAGCAAAATCCTAGTTTGCATCAAGGAAAAGTTTCATGAATTAAAAAGTTATTAAACAGAAAAAAAAGCCATAGAACTAGTTTATTAAAACAGAATGTTTCATGTGTCATTTTAAGGAGCCTCCTTTGAGGCCTTATTAAATTTCTGGAAAATATAACACCCGTTCTATGAGAAGAAACAAACTTCACTATATGTCAAAGATACTGGTAACACATTCAGGACTTTCCCTCAAACTGCAGCCAGAAAACACAAAGGCTGCATATAAAAATAACCCCAAGAAATCAGTACTAGATACCACACAGACACCTACAGTTGGAGAAAACTGTACCAAGTCCTAAATGGGACAAAGTGCGTGAACTATGACTCCTTGTTACACATGCACATCAGGGTCAGAGTTTAGGTTTCCTCTCTAGTGGCAAAATTTGCATTTACTTCATTAATTGCCCAATCATACACTTAAGCATTTAGACCAACGTAACATGTCAGCTGCCAGGCAGTTTGTGTTCGTTTAAAACAAAAATAATATTGGGAAGGGAGTGGTGATGAAAAAGCTTCAAAAAATACAGTAAAATAAGCCCTTGGTGTCCAGATGATATCTAAGACTGGCTTGCAAAAAGCTGCCAAGAGAACATTCACATTTCCTAACAAGGAGTGAGTTGGCAAAATGCCACTGGAACATTGTGAATTTCACCAGAGCTGCTGGAGCACAGCCACAGCTGCCTCACCACATCCTGGGTCTCTAGAAATGCTTGAGAATCATTCAACTGCTCCAAACTAGCTATCTCAGAGGGCATTTAGTGCCTCAAGCCTGAACTCCAATGGCCTGACAGGGATATACCCATTAAACTGTCACTACAGAGCAACACACTGCTGTATAGAGCAGGAAAATCTCTAAGAGCAGTTCCTGGGAGAACAGGGCAGAGATCAAGTTATCAAGCCTTACAACTCTACATTTGATTGATTTAAAAGTCAGGTTTAGTGCAGAGGGGAGTTCAGGACATCTCTTTAACCAGACAAAACATGTAAAGTTGCCTGTGCTGGTTAGAAGGCATTTTATAACTTTGATAGCACACTACAAGGCCGAACTAGCTGACACATGGACATCATTCATTGGGAACCTGTGATTCTTCACCAAAAATAGTCTACAGGAACCGTGCAATACACAGTTTTCAAAGCACTTCTACTCAAATCACGCCCAATTTGCACTGGAAAAATCCAGGTGTTTTCTTCAGCAAGGTCTATTCCCAGGTGCTGCCCAGGTCTCTCTTGAAGGTTAGCCTTCAAGACAAAACCAGTTCAAATGTTTTCACATAGGATTATCAGGAAAAAGTATATCTTGAGCAAATACCAAATATGAAAAAATCTGCAGCCCACTGTCTGTCTTAAACTGCACACACTTAAAAACAGTCAGGATAAATTATCATTCAGGACTGAAAAAAATACCTGAAAAGACAATCTGTTCATTCCTCTGACAGGGAGAACAAAAATGCTGTGGGGAAAAAACCAACCTACAAACACACAGATGTGTGTTTAAGTCTTGTCAGGATTATAACTTCCTTTAATAACCTATGCATTTTCTCCCGATAAAATGGAAGACAGCAAACAGTATTTATTCCTAGCGTAATAAATTGTATTCAAAGGTCCCTCATAAAAATTCTTTTAGCTAAACCTCCTCTTTTTACAATTCCAAAAACTCTAGGATGTATTAAAGAGACCACATGACAGAATGATGCATCTTTAATTTTGGATTATCTTCACCTTGTTTTTAAATTCTCCATTAAAAGCGAAGTGATTTTGTGGTTTACCATCAGGGAGTTTATACGCTTGGAACCAGTCAACTGTAGCCTCGAGGTAACCTGGTTTGTGCTTCCTGACATCATCAATATCTGTAGGTTAAAAAGAAGGAGAAAAAAAAAAAAGGACTACTCATTTTTAGTCACAGTTTTTTGTAACATTCATTGTAACATTCATTTTTTAAAGTCTCATAAAGGATCTGAAAGCAATCTGATTTCACTAAGCACTTTCAAAGTCACTGGGGAACTTCATTTTATTATATTAGCTGCCCATAGTTGATACCTTATGATTTCACAACCACACAAACAGGTAAACCAGTTGCCTCCTGCCCTTCGTTAATTAAGACCCAAAGGGACAATGAATAAAAGGACCATACTTGATGACAGGAGAGGAAGAAAATTCCGTATTTATAGGCTTTCATCTCAGTGGGTATCTCTTTCAATAATACTTAGATTATTCAGTGAGGTGATTTTTTTCCCCAGCAACTGCAGGGACTACAAGCATTTGTTTGCTAATGAAAGACTACCTAGTAAAAACAATTTCAACACATGGATTTTTAAACCAGCATCTCAAAACAAAACATAGGCTTGACTTCTCCAAGTTGTGTTAAAGGCATCCCTTCCTCACATTACCTTCAAATTCAGCCCCTTACATAGAAAACAGGTACGTGCCAGGAGCACTAAACACTAACTCTACTGATAACCTCGTGATATCTGCACACTCACAGTGATAAGCCAATTCTACCTTTACCCATATTATCTTACTATGCAAAGATGGAACAGGACACAAAAAGGAATGCAAGCCATCTGCAGGATACCCCTGGGAGGCAGAGATGAACGCTGCCACAGTGGGTACAGATAGATTAAACAGCCACGCAGTAATTCTGCTTGAGGGCTATACTGCTTTAGCAAAGATGCAGTTCAGGATCTTAAATGCTTACTTCTGTTATGCATATCCAATGTCACCTGCTTGCCCTGTGCCACTACCATCACTCCTGTTACCTGCAATGAGTTGGTCCCATCAGCCCCTTGGTAAATTAATTCCCCAGCAGTATGTTGACAATTTTAGTTGATTTTGGTACAACAAAGGATTTTGTCCTTTCCAGAAGCCAAGTACTTTTTGTAGTTGGTGTAATCCTTCTCCTTTGATCTCTGTCCCTCCTATAGTCACTTCTGATGAAAACAAGAGCTGACTTCTTATTGCTGTACTTCGCATGCAGGCTTCCAGCTGTTTAACCTTACTCTGTCCAGGCCACCTTCCATGGTGCTACTTTCTTCCAGTGTTTTGCAAGCCATTTGCTCATTCTCCCTTCCCAATTCTCTCTTGCTCTCTCTCAATACTGCTTGGCTACTTCATTCTCTTCTCCCATAGATATGACTGACATCTCCTGGTTAGCAGTGATTCCTGCTGAAACTCTTCTGTCTATCCAGTCCTATAAAACAGATTTTCAGAACTGCTTAGTCCACAGAACGGACACATAGTCATGTGATTTCCATCTTCAGGTGCCTATATGTCTTTCAAAAATCTAGTCTGTGAACCTGAACAAAGACATTTGAATATCTTTAAAGAGAAGTGTTAAGGGAAGGGAAAAAGTCTTGTGCTATAGACCATTCAATTCTCTGTAGACCACCAAGACAGATGACAAGTGGACTGAACTGTGAAATCAAACCTATGTGAGAACATATGCTGAGCGTTCACAGACGTCTGATAGATGCCACTCCCAAATTCCACTGGATCATACTCTACTCAAAGAATAAAACATAAAGCTTTGAAGAACCCTATGTAAATTTTTGCTTCAGCACGCACGTAATAGGGCTACGTGTTTATGGACTCAGAGCAACACACACTTTTGCACTTGGCTGCTGGCCATCTGCCTGTAGAAGATTAGGGAGTTGCATTGGCAGAATCCCAGAAAAAAAGCAAGGGCACATAAGGCTGTGCTAGAGGCAGGTTTTCTAGCTGGAAAGGATGTTTAAGAGTATAAGCCTTTCACTAGGGTAGGTAGGTGAGACCAAACAAGAAGGAATGATTTAGAAGAGGAAAAAGTCCTGGTTGGAGGCAGGATGCTTCATTTGGGCACTAATAAAACTAATAAAACTGCGTCTCCAATTCAAATCAGTTTCAGGGTTCCAAGTGTATCATCCTGTTCTTTCAAGCAAGGGAACATCCCTCCTCCATCTTGAGCCCTTATCACCTCCTCCTCTTGTAAGGTTTGAACTCACTGTGTCTTCATCATGTAGTAGAAATTGTATCTCGCCAAGTCTGTAAAGCAAACCAGGCTGCGACAGCAATTTCCTTGGCTCCTAGTAGTGAATGAACTCCAAATCTCCATCTCCAGACACTACTTAAGTTCAAGCATACTTTCTCAGACTGCTGCTCCTTTCTTCTGGGTCCTGTTCCAGCAAACGTCTCCCCTAACTCTGCTTCTCCACTCTTCCTACTTGGTTATTTGCCTCCTATTCCCACAAAAACTGTTCATCAGAAGTTCTTTGCTGTTTGCTAACTGACACTTGGGCCCTTCCCCATCTGTTGTTTATAGACTTTATTTGTATTTGTCTAAAGAATTCAAATATTAGAACAGGCTTTGGGGCAGGCTTTCATTACCTGGATGGGATGATCATCTTTATGGGCTTCATCTCTCTGAATTTCACACTCTCTCTACTGGAAAATATCTTGTCTAGGTAAAATGACTTTTTTACATGGCCCCTAAAGTCCTGGCTGTTACATATTCTGGTTTTGAGGACTTAAGAAGGGGGACAGTGGCTGCTTTATTTCCTTGGTTCCTTGCAAGTTATTCTTCTTCATCCCCATGCTTCACTTCATTATTCTTTATTATGAAGGACAGCTACTGAGCAGCAAATGAAGCTTAAATGGTTGAAGGAAAAAAAATAAACCAACCAAAACACAGGTGTTATGATGGGAGTTGGCAGCAAGCAGCTAGAAAAAATGCAACAGTGTAACAAAAAGAAAAAAAAAAGAATAAAAATCAATCCCGTTGCTGTGGAGTCAGCACATGGCACAAAATATGAGCTCTCGCATCACTCAACAGCCACCTCTTCAGTTCATTAAAAGGCACCATAGAAAAGCTTGAAATACAGCTAGCTTCTCCTCCTTTTTGAAACCCAAACAGCATCTTTGGGACATCAGGGAAAGAAAGAGAAATATACACTCAGAAAACAGAAGAATAAGCCAAGAAAGGTAAAAGAAAAGATCACAATAAGCAGTACAGTGATTTACTGCACTAATATCTACAGAGATTAGCTGCATATTATGATTTTAAAAAAATATTTAGATGTCTTTTCTGAAGCAGACACTGTTAGGCACTTCTATCTGACCCTGGCCGCTTACCGTCCCTTAGAGCTATGTACTCACACTGATGTCAAAAGGGGCTAAGCAAGTATGGGAATAGCAAACATGCACCTGGCTTAATGTGGTTTCTGTTCTGCAAGCAAGTCCTGCTCAGAGTGACAGAGCAGAAAGTCAGGCTCCTGCAGGTAAATTATCAGCATGTACTCACTGGGCTCTAGGCAGCAATTTCTTTATACTGCCTACATACCACCACAGGTCCCATTTCTCTTGGAAACAAAATTAAGCACCAAGGGTTAAAAAGAGATGGGTAATCACATTAACAGATGCAGTTTAGTCTCAATGAGGAAAATCTCTTGAGGATGGTACAACCAACCGCTGCTAGGTCTCTGTGAAGGGAGCGCACCAATGCAAACGTGATTCCCAGTTCTATCCAGCTTTCCAAAAAAGAACAACAAAAGCATTTGTACAAAACTACCATTTTTAGTACAACAGATGCTGCTTCTTGCAAGCAAAGCTAAAACAACATGCTTGCAGCAAGCTTTCTAAACAAGGTCTGTGGGAAGAGAGGACATATGTTTTTAATAACATCTTATAAACATTTACAGGAAGCAGCAGCTATATTCCATATAAAGGCATTTGGTGTGTTTTGTGCAGCATGGTGTGAGGGAGTAGGAGCGGAGTCTCAGTACAGATAATTAATTTCTCTATATTGAATGCTTACACAAATCCACAACAAAGGTTTTTTAGGGCCTCTGCTGCTTCTCTGCATATAAATATACTCACATGCAAGGGTCTATAACAATATATGGTACAAAGTATGCAATATGCTTTGGTTTTGCCATTTAGGGTTTGATCACTTAACAAATAAAGGCCAATCTTAAGTTGCACATCAGAAAAGAAGTGTGGCAACAGCACAGTGAACTACACCAGTACCAGCAAACAGTAGTGCAACAAAGCCAGCAGACACCATCAACTGCTGTTAAATATATCCAGGCATCTTTTCAGTCAGCAACGACAAGAAAATTACTGCTGGGTTTCCCGGCCAGTAAATCACCTCCATCCAGCATACCTGAGTTGTCCTATGTGCTCAAGGAAGGTAAAGATGACCTTTCGAGGGTCAGACTTTTCTCAAGCTGCCTCAAACACTTCCTGCTTCAACTGCCAGTGATTTTCAAAAACTCTTGTCCAACATGAAGATGACCAAATTACAGCATGAAAATATCGCTCACCCTTTCTGAGTCCAACCTTGTAAAGCACATTAGATATGTATGGGAATTCCAATATATTAAATTCAATCCCAATTATGAGATAAGCACACAAGCAGCCTTTCTACTCCAAGAACTTGCTGCTTCTTCTGGACAGGATTTTACAAAAAACAAACAAAAAGCAACAACAACAAAAGCAGCCAGGTCTATTATACCATCAAGATTTAATGTTTCATTGTGCAGAGAGATTTTAGGCCCTTTCCCAGACTTGCTTGGTCTGGAGTTGCTTTGTTGGTCTGCTAATGGCCATCTGCCTAACAGGCAGAGCAGAAAGACAACACAGTGGTTTTCAGGTAGCCACAAAGACAGATTTTACTGAAATAGATAAATCTCAAGATGTCCAGTTTTAGTCTAAAAGAAACTTTCGCATACAGATACACGCATCTGAGGTATAGCTTGTGTTTGGAGTGAGACTGTCCCCATATCCACCAGTATAAGTGCTGTAATTTCAAACAAATTACCTTCTAAAGTCAGTCCAAAAAGACACTAAGTCCTTGCTATTCCCACTGATGAGACAGTTCCTGCTTGAATGGGTGCAAAGGATTGCTTATCATTCCTGGGACTGTCGCTATAAATTAGTTTCTCATTTCTCTGTGTGAAAGAAAGAGTTCTAGGCAGGGTTCCCAATTTAAACCAGTATTTATCAATAAATGCCTGCAGGACATAGCACAGTGGAGTGCTATGAATAAACAATGAGAACTGCTCAGAAGTTGGAACTGTTCAGTTTTAAGTTCTGTGAAGTCTCAGAAAAATCAATTGCACTTACGAGAACAATCACAATCCCAGAAGGAGAATATACAGAGTACCTGGGGTGTGCTTAAAGCAGCAAGAGGAGTTAACACACTGCGCAGGCTCAGGATGGGGTTTGCAAGTAATCACCACTCTGGTGTCTTGGAATTATCTTTTCCAAATGTTCACTGGGGGCTGTGCACATACTGAGCTGAAAGCAAATGTGATGATTCTTAGTCCAATTCGAAATGTTCAACAAATGACACAAAAACGACTGGACAGACTTAGAAGGCAACACTTAGCCTCATCTCTTACTAGGAGGCCACCACTGTAACACAGCAGCATGTCAATTATCGAGGGAGATACTGGTTTTATCTGTAGCTGCAATCCCTTTATGCTGAAATAATTAACATCCTTGGGAAGGGGAATAACAAGTATAAAAGGACATATTGTACTGCCTACTCCAACAGATTTGTTTGTTTTCAGACTGAAGACGGATTGCTGCTAAGCACTGAAAGCTAGTCATGTTTTGTGAAAACAGATGGGGGTTTTCTTTTTCCCCCTTTTTCTTTCCTTCTGTAAATCCTGGACTGCATCCCTAATCCCCAAAGGGAAAGCATATTAAACTGGATAAATATTTCTGCACTTCTCTGAACTTCAGGACAGTTCTCTTCTCAAAGGTTTGCACCTACTCACTGCTAAGAAAGGATACACACACAAGCTACAAGGCAATAGTCTGCCCATTCCCCGCCCCACCTTTCGGTGTTTGTTTAAACAAGACTAAAACTCTTACTTCCATCCCAAACAAACTGAAGCTGTAACAGAGCTGTCAGAAATCAGTCATTACCTGAAAAAACAAAACAGAGACTTCTAAATAGAGCTACTTAACCCAGTGGCATAAACTGTCCCAGTCTTGACTTACTTAATGGACTCCATTTAAATTCTCTCACCTGCTTTTCTGATTAAACTCTCATAGAAATCTTTAAGGACAAAAGGTAAAGAGTTAAACACAACAGTGTATAGAAATAAAGCGCTAAATTACTTGTCTTTTAACTACTGGCACATACCATTTCACTGCACATTACAGAGATTACCAAGACCAACATTAACAGCAAACCATTACTTACTATTTCCTTAAGTTGAACTTCTTAATCTCTGTCAAAGTAGTAAGTCATAAACACTATTTAGTAATTCATCTGCCCAATGAGTTTAATAAGCATCAACCCCCATACCCTTTTCCTCCTTTCCTCTTCTCCCTTTCTTTCCTCACAAGCCAAGTATTCTCCATTTGAAAGCAACTTGCAAGAAAACTGAGAATGAAGGGCCAGACCAGTGATATATTTACTTTACATTCAGAAACCAGGAAAAAGCCTCAATGGCTGAGAAACACAATTCCTCAAAAAGCTACTGAATAGCCTACAGAAAGACCACTCTGTGCCTTGGTGATCCTTGCTAACAAAGAACAGGCTCTGATCGCACATAACCTGATGGTATATATGTTTTTTTGTATCGCAACTGTCGTGGTTTAAACCCTAGCCAGACAGCTTGTTCACTCACTCCCAGTGAGTGGTGCCGGGCTGAGAGCAATTTGAGCCCCCCCCCCCCCTCCCCCCCATCCCTGGGGCTCTCCCCTTCCCCACTCCCGGAGCAACAGGGAGGAGGATCGAAAGAGTGCAACTCTCACGGGTTGAGACAAGAACAGTCCAGCAACCAATGTACAACACAAATCACCACCGCTACCACCAACGACAACAATGATAAGAGAAAATAACAAGGGAAGAGACTATAATACCACCGGCCAAGAAACGAGTCCCACCTGGAAGCCCCTGTCCTTCCAGGTAACTCCCAGTTACCCCCTACCCCGGGCATGACGTGCTGTGGTATGGAATACCTCTTTGGCTAGCCTGGGTCAGGCGCCCCGTCTCTGCTTCCTCATGGCTTCCCTTCCTCCCTGGCAGAGCATGAGCCTCACAAAGTCCCTGGTCAGGGTAAACATCACTTAGCAACAACCAAAAACATCGGTATCACCAGCACTGTTCCCAGGCTGGAAGTCAAAACACAGCACTGCACCAGCTACCACGAAGGAGAAACATGACTGCTACTGCTGAACCCAGGACAATAACAACGACTAACTTTCAGACAAACCTGCTCACTTAATTCTCTTGTAACACTGCATTTCAGGAAGTGAACCTCCATTTATCCAGTGAAAAGCTGTACTTCACCTGTGCTGCAAAAACCTAACTCCCTGCAGCTTTAACATATCTGTACCACCAAACTGTGTGCAAGCAGAATTACACCTCATGTGCTAGTCACATATCCAAATGGAATTCAGGTACTAAAATGTGTCTTCCAGACATGGTGACAAGGAGGTCAAGTCCAGACAAGCTCCTTCCTCCTGCACAGCTAGTCATCATCAAAGCTGATACTAGGTAAGCTGCATTAGCAGTTTACTTTGCATATTTTCAAGCTAAAAGGTGAAACCTATTTAGGTTCATACTAGGCAACAAACCCTGGAAGCAACCCAGTTACAAGTGACAAAGCATTGGAAATGTACAGCCCTTTTCAGAATGCAACACAACGCCTGCGAATCAAAAAGGAACAAGCACTTTCAACAAGGAAAACAACAGTGTGCTACGTAATCTGAGTGGGTAAATATGCACTATTACACAGTAATTTTAAGAGTTCACTTTCTAAGGCAGTTGTGTTTCAGAAGTCAGAAGATTTTCTGCATGACAGGTCCTCTTGAAAAGCCAAGTGAAGCTTTTAAAAAGCTTAGCGTGAAAGCATATATGCCCTCCTTGAAAGAAGTACCTGTTTTAAACGACAAAAACACCCAGAAAAGTCTTTGCCTTTCTGCTATCTGCCTCTTCCTGTCCTGGGTGGCCTGAACTCAGGTACCATTCTACTGTGCAAATTGCTAACATAACTTACGTTAAGAAAGACAAAAAATACTTGCCATGGATTTTGTGAGCATCTGGGTCATCCACACTGATAGCAATTATCTTCCAATCTGTCTCTCCTTCATCAACAAGAGCTAAAACACCCAAGACCTTCACCTGAACAATCTCACCAGAAGAACGAATCTGAAACAGAACAGTTCACAAAGATTTGGAAAATACGATACAGAATTTTTCTTTTACCTTACAGACAAACCAGTTTTACTTTATTTTTGACCAGGTGCTAATAGAATTGCAAGACAGATCTATAAAGCCAGTACACACCTATTTAACATTACTAGCTTTTCTTCCACCACTGCTATTCTTCAACCCTCAATTCTTCAATCAGCATTTATTTAAGTAGACAAGCTAGAATTTTTTTCCTTCTCTTCTACCCTACTTCCTCCAAACCTTCATGATCGTCACCCAAAACTGCAAGTCAAAAGTATCTCATACTTATTTTTTAACTCCTTCCTGCCTCTTGACTCTCTCCTTTCTTAACTCTTGGTCTTAATCTACCTGTCGCTGTTTCTTCCTCTAGACTCCAATATACACATATAAACACACACTCTGTCCCCAGGAATATCAGCACAACTTTCTTTTGTATTTTCTTGGGAACCTTCTCCCTGCCAGCTAATATTCCCTTTATAATTGTTTCTGGAACCCCTGAGATTCAGCTTTATGTTCCTTTCTACAAATAGAGCCACCTTCATCAAGGTCACCAATTAAATTTACCCTTACTTAAAATATCCCAAAGGATCCCCCTCTTCCAAACTCATCCATTTCATAGCCCCATCTTTGATACCACAGAGAACTGCTTCCTCCCTTGCTGCCTCCAGGTATGTAGAATTTTCTTTCAGTGAGCTACACCTTTCCCCTTGTCTTGGGCTCAGCAGTAGCAGTCATTTTTTCTCCTTCTTAGTGGGGGGGGGGGGGGGGGGGGAAGAAAAAGGGGGGAAGAAAGGGGGGGAGTGAGCAAGAGGGCTGCTGGCTGACTTATGGCCTGGGCTTAAACCACAATACCCCTATACCTACTAATGGTATTAGCTGCACCTCTTTGTCATCCATCCACTCCATGTATCATAACTTTGCAACACTACAATAGGTTCCTGTCTTCTTCTCTACAGAAATGGGATCTACTTCTGTTTGCACCCATGAGAAAACTCATCTACCTCCTTTGTGTGCCTGACCTTGTAATTTTATGTGCAGATGCTGACATACCTCTTCATCTTTCAGAAACTTACTTCTAGCTTCAGTACCTCTAAGAGGACAAAAAAAAAAGAGAAATCTTCAAAAATGTAACCCCGTTCTCCTTCACATAAAATTCACTGTCCAGCCATAGAACTTCAGGCCTCTTCTCTTTACCAAAGAGACTTTACAAACTTTTACCAAAGAGACTTTACAGACTTTACCAAATCCTGTTTTCTCCTTTTTAAAAATTCACCATTTTCTTACCTATCCCCTCCTCAGACTCTCTAATCCTACTTTTGTCATTCCCTGAGACTCTTATCATCTGTCCATCTCTTCCTAAAGTTGTTACCATATTATTAACTTAACTGTGGTAAGTTAAACTCATGGGGATAAAGACAAACCTTTGAACCTATTTCACAAACATCAATAGGATCATTATCCCCACAGCATCCTGTATTGTTGTCTGTATGGTTTGGATCTTCCCAGGTCTGTTAAAGGAAAGAGAATTATCAGTTACCAGCTGATCTGCAATTACAATTCAACTAACCACTAAATTATTAAGACTAACAAAAACAACAATAAGAACATCAGTTTTCTGAGAACAGGCTTGCTCAATGGGAAAAGAAAAACCAAACAGGCAGTGGACTGATGTTGAGTAATTCATCCTCATACTCAGGACAATGGGAATTACTGAGGACATGGTAACAAACATATCAACTGCATTCCTACTCAAGAGATACACTTTTCCAAATGGCAGTGATTAAGGCATCAGAGGACCCTGAATATGTATTTTTCTGGTTACAAGTGGTTATGGGATTAAACTAAGACACCCTATAATTACATTCTTATGCTCTTTAAATACCATGGCACTAACATAAGTTGCCTTCAAAAAATATCTAGACTTTGAACTAACCAAACTCCTGGGTTTGGATTTGTCAGCACTTAATTAGCTTTTTTAAGTTTTTATATTAGGTACAAAATATTTCTGATTATTTTGAGATGTGCACATTCCCAAGAACAGCCAACATCTTAAAACCAAAGCAGTTTCTCCAGGAGGCAAGTTCAAATCCCTGCTCCAAGCTCTGTACAACCAAGGAATCATAGCCAAGTTATACTAACTCAATTACTAGACTAGTGCTTGCTTTGTCTCCTACTGGTTAGTAATGAGTAACTCATTCTCAAGTCGGGAAGTTCTCCTGGAGTCCAATGAAATTTTGTTGAAAAGGTGTTAGAAAACTTTTTCCAAGGATTTGTACTGTTAGCTCCTGCTGTCCATGGTCACACCCCCACCTCAAACTTGTTCTTGAGAACATGACTGATACTAAAAGGCAAACCAGTGAAACCTAAACTCTCAGGTGTTTAAGTAGCAGAATCATTACTAAAAAAAAATGTTGAAATGGAGTCAAGAGAGAATTTCAACTTAAAAACCTATTTTTCCAACACTCTTCCAAAGTGTTTTTTATCTAAGGCTGCATTATACCAGTAGTACTCTCCTGCCAACTGCATCCCTCTACCTGCAGGTTAGCAGGAAAGCTCGCTAGGAAGGGTATGATCTCTGGACAGTACAGCAACTCCTGCAATGAGAATCCTGCTGTCATTTTTTTTCTTCTCTGTTCCACAGCATAAAAAAGCAGACACAAACACGTATCTTTAAGCCATATACTAGGGTTGAACTTCTACCAATTGCTGATCCTCATGAAGAATCCTTTTATGATAATGGAGACACTAAATTGGATTTTGTTTGCTACAGTTGCTGGTCAGAATCTGGAGTATCATCTAGACTTCAGCAACTGGAGATGCAATGATCCAACTGGTATTTTAAAGTAATTACAGAAAATGAAAGTGACAACTATCTCCAGCTCTCTCCGACTCACAAGGTAACAAGTGAAGCTGAACATTTCTCCTGGGGAAACTGTCACCAGTCCAAAATGATGCACTTTGTGCAGGAAAATACTCAATGTTTAATTTTGGCTTTATACTAAGGCACACATGAATTTCAAAATATTAAATGGAATTTCAGGTTCCTGACTATACCTACTTGGAAACCTTGCCTACTGAGACTGCTGACTGGATAAGAACTTCATTGCTATACTCCGGCATCTGCCTGGTATCTCCTCTTCAGGGATCACACACATCAAAAGCACATTTTCAGGAGTAAACTCTCATTGCTTATGTAGTTAAGTGTGAAGAAAATAAATTAGTCTTTTCTAACTCCATCACGTTCTTCAGTATTAATCTAAGTCCAATGTGTTATTCAGAGAAATGAAAAAAAGTCAGAACTTTTCATTATGCTCAAAATTTCAGCCATTACTTGGGCTTTTTCATGGCTCAAAGTTTCAAATCTGTCATGATCAGTAAAGTCTTACAGTTCAGAGAAAAGTCAACTAAGGCAGTTAATGCTTAATCTAAAAAAGAACAGCCCTTGCATTCCTCTTTGTTAAAGATATTGAGAAATCACAATTAAAATTTATGCTGCAATTCCCAAAACTCCTAAATTCAGTTGTTTTGTTTTTTTTTTTAAATGCCCTGTTTGAGCAAAAAAGGGCTACCTGACAACGTATTCTTGAATGGCAGATCAAGACAGCTCAGTTCTGTCACTACAGTACAGGGATGCTAATTAATGATTTGAGATTTCTTGATCATTTAACTCCTTCCTGAAATACAGTACATATATAAACCCTTACCTAAATACTGATCCAAATTTATGGAAACAATAAAGCTCAACATAAAAAATCCTAATTTGCAAATTTATCAAAGAGAAACATCCTTCTTGCAACTGATTTGCATTCAGGCAGTACTCAAGATTTACAAGGCAATTTACACAGAACACAGAAAACTTTCACCATTATAACAAAAATGTTACCTGTGGGAGGGCACCATAATTCCATATATAACCCTTGTGAGGAAAGATATTTGCCACATATCGAAGCTTGCCTTTCTCTATATCTTGTTTAATGGGATTCAACGGCTCCTCAGTGGCAATCTAAGCAGATTGTGAAAAAGAGAGAGAGAGAAGGAGAATGGTAAAATGGAAAGCAATTCATTCTGTACACAACCAGTTAGAAAGATCCATCTGGGAGCATGTGCTTGTGGTTTAAAAAGTGTGATGGCTGCACCCAAAATCTCACCGGTCATGTTCAAAAAGCAGCTTATTAAAGTTTTAAATAACGTTGTGAAGTATGCAAGAAAAAACGAATCTCAAAGAGAAAGTCCTAAATTTGTAAAGAGACTGTCATGATCAAACATAAATATTAAAAGGAACTTAAGTTAGAAGCTCTTGCATTTTATAGAACAATTCAACAGATGCGCAAATGATGGCACAAATTCTTCTGACAATAGGGGCTTTGGCAGCAACCTTACCATAGTCTGGACTGCAGAACTGCCAGGACACAATAACAAGGCAACCTCCTTAATAAGTAAGACATTTCAAGAATATTAAAGCTTACACAGTAGAGAACTACATCTGGTCTCTTCTATCAAGCCACAGAAGTCTAAACCCTCCAATTTTTGAACCTAACAGGACAGCAAACTTTTCTACCCTTGATGTAATGTGCTGAGAGAAGGGGGGGGAGAGCAATCTGAGCTTTACGCAGAGTTAAAATAGTGTTGTCAAAGGGAAACGTGCAAAAGAGAACTAAGCTTCCACAATTGCAGTATCATCTTAAAATACATGGTAAATATCCAAGGTAACCCTGTTTCCAGAGTGTGGTAAACACAGTTCCAATTATTTTCCAGCATCTGGGAAAGGAGAAAACAAAATTCTGAAATAAAAGGCTGGGGAGGTTCTTTGGTGTTATTTTTAATACTCAAAACACTTAATGGCTCCAATATAAACTTCCTTGAAAGCATCCAGGAAGCATTCCTAAAATTAATACAAACGTTCAGAAAGACAGGACATATCTGGTGAGATCCCTTTTTTCACAAACACAACAGCTGAAGCATTATTACTCAGCTTCTGTACTGTAACTGCAGAGGAACAACCTGCTAGGTTCTTTTAAAATATGCCCCTGCAGGAGCAGATACTTTCAATCAGTGAGGTCCCCAAGTTGTTTGTTTGGGTTTTTTTAACACAAGGAAATGCCTTTTCATTTGCGGCCCCGTTTGTCAGGATTTGGCCTAGCACGCTATATTACAGCACACTGTATAGCAGAAATGAGAGAATTTAAATCCTCTGAGTGGAACGCTCTATGAGCGAGCAAAAGTAAGACTAAATGCTGGACAATGTTCTGCAAGGCACTGCTTTAGACTCTGTTGCAGGTATGCTGCACTCTGCAGTCAGAAGACTGTCAAGAAACAGTGCTCACCTGTAGAACGGAAACTAAATTAGAACCTCTACATTTTTTATAATAGCAAGGAAATTGTCTGTATGCACAAGTTGAAATTCATTTTTTAACACAGAAAAATTTATGTGCAAAAACTAATTCACACTCTGATCAAACTCTGATGACTGGAAGTCATAGCTTTCACAAATACCTATCTAATCAAGGTGTTTTCTCAATTACCTCCATTTTTGCATTCGTCCAACGAGGCACTTCTACAATCATGTTAAACACGACCTGAAACAAAAAACGGTGACAGACTGAAAATAAAATCCATTTTGCAATTAGTACTTTATAATTAGACAAATTCTATTCTCTGTATTCAGCAGCAACATACATCACATCTCTCTGCTCCAGCTGTTTTTATGTTCAAGGATCACCTACTACAAGCTCAGGAATGTTGCATCACAACTAGAAGGAAATGCAGGAGGAGGGCCAGGAGACCTCCTTGGATGGATAAGGAGCTCCTGAGGAAAATTCAAATGAAAAAAGAGGCTTATCATAAGTGGAAGCAAGGACAGGCGGCCTGGGAAGAGTACAGGGATGTTGTCCGGGAAGCTAGGGACCAGGTTAGGAAAGCTAAGGCCCAGTTAGACCTAAACTTGGCAAGGAATGCTAAGGATAACAGGAAGGGATTCTGCAGGTATATAGCAAATAAAAAACAGACAAGGGAGAACGTAGGCCCCCTCAGGAAGCTCTCAGGAGAACTGGCTAAACAGGATTTGGAGAAGGCTGAGGTTCTGAATGACTTCTTTGCCTCAGTCTTCACTCACAAAGGCTCTGACCTGACTCATCCAAGCCTTGGAAGGCAGACGCAGGGACTGTGAGAATGAAGACCTTGGGCCCACTGTAGGAGAGGACCTGATTCGAGACCATCTTAAAAATCTGAATGTACACAAGTCCATGGGTCCTGATGAAATCCATCCATGGGTCCTGAAGGAGCTGGCGAATGAAGCTGCTAAGCCACTGGCCATCATATTTGAGAAATCATGGCAGTCAGGTGAAGTTCCCAATGACTGGAAAAAGGGAAATATAACCCCCATTTTCAAGAAGGGGAAAATGGATGACTCGGGGAATTACAGACCAGTCAGTCTCACCTCTGTGCCTGGCAAAATCTTGGAGCAGATTCTCCTGGAAGGCATGCTAAGGCACATGAAAAACAACAAGGTGCTTGGTGACAGCCAGCATGGCTTCACTAAGGGGAAATCCTGCCTGACCAATCTGGTGGCCTTCTATGATGGGGCTACAGAACTGATGGACAGGGGTAGAGCAGTTGATGTCATATACCTGGACTTGTGCCAAGCGTTCGACACTGTCCCACACGACATCCTTGTCTCTAAATTGGAGAGACATCAATTTGATGGATGGACCACTCATAGGATAAAGAACTGGCTGGATGGCTGCACACAAAGAGTTGTGGTCAATGGCTCAGTGTCCAGCTGGAGACCAGTAACGAGTGGCGCCCCTCAGGGATCGGTGTTGGGACCGGTCTTGTTCAACACCTTTGTTGGTGACATGGACAGTGGGATGCAGTGCGCCCTCACCAAGTTTGCCAATGACACCAAGCTGTGTGGTTCGGTTGATACCCTGGAGGGAAGGAATGCCATCCAGAGGGACCTTGACATGCTTGTGAGGTGGGCTGATGCCAACCTCATGAAGTTTAACCATGCCAAGTGCAAGGTCCTACACCTGGGTCGGAGCAATCCCAGGCACAGCTACAGATTGGGCAGAGAAGAGATTAGGAGCAGCCCTGTGGAGAAGAATTTGGGGTGTTGGCTGATGAGAATCTGAACATGAGCCGGCTTCAGTGTGCGCTTGCAGCCTAGAAAGCCAACCGTATCCTGGGCTGCATCAAAAGGAGCGTGACCAGCAGGTCGAAGGAAGTGATCCTGGCCCTCTATTCTGATCTTGTGAGACGTCACCTGGAGTATTGTGTGCAGTTCTGGTGTCCTCAACATAAAAAGGACATGGAACTGTTGGAACAAGTCCAGAGAAGGGCCACGAGGATGATCAGGGGACTGGAGCACCACCCGTATGAAGATAGGCTGAGGAAGTTGGGGCTGTTCAGCCTGGAGAAGACTGCATGGAGACCTCATAGCAGCCTTCCAGTATCTGAAGGGGGCCTATAGGGATGCTGGGGAGGGACTCTTCATTAGGGACTGTAGTGATAGGACAAAGGGTAACGGGTTAAAACTTAAACAGGGGAAGTTTAGATTGCATATAAGGAGGAAATTCTTTCCTGTCAGGGTGGTGAGGCACTGGAATGGGTTGCCCAGGGAGGTTGTGAATGCTCCATCCCTGGTGGTGTTCAAGGCCCGGTGGGACAGAGCCTTGGGCAACATGGTCTAGTGTGACACATTCCTGCCCATGGCAGGGGGGTTGGAACTTGATGATCTTAAGGTCCTATCCAATCCTAACTATTCTATGGTAAGTACAATTTGCTTAGTTACACACAATTATGTTCAACCTCCTTGGTTCATCCTTTCCTTGCCCCTTTGAGAGTATGAACAACTCTAAGTAGTGGAAATCTACATGACATTATTTATTCCTCTATCAATATTACTCCTCACAAAACACTCAGAAAGTCCATGGAATGGTTTGCCACAAAGCAGTGGTTCAATTTACCAAGGAGGACTGGACATATCTACAGGATAGCATTAGCTTCCCAAGCACTGGAAAGGACAATGTTTTGGGGCTTTTTTTCCCGTGAGGATTTATTTCTTCAGGCCCTCCTCTTTTGCCTCATTCATTTTCTAAAACCCCATGCAAATACAACAATTGACGCTTCTGATTCTCAGTCAAATCTGGTTGAAGTTAGACAAATTGAATCCAAAAGTGATGGCAGAGGAAGGACATGGACACAGACACCTCATGTTTGCATTAGCCTTCTTCCTAATAGAAATGAAGTGAAAGTTGTTTCAAGAAAGTGAAGAGGGTGTGCGAGGAATAAACTTCCATGTATTTTTAGAAAAAGAAACTAAGTAATCTATGCCCTTCTTAATGGGGGGTTAAAGTGACATTTTCCAAAGGAAAAACTGTGTAACTGCCATAAGGTTTCTTCTGAAGCTGCAAGGAGTTAAGCACTACCAAGGAGTATTTATTGAAATGAGTAACCAGACCAAACCACTCAGCAATGTCTACAACCTCTCTTCTCCCAGATTACTAAAATAACCCCAAAATATCATGTTGTTTGGGACTTCTCTTCACAGCCAAAGAAAACTTGCACTGGTATTAAAAATCACTACAGGAAGGACAAAATATGATACGTGTTTGCAGAGTTTTGTAGGAGGAAAAGTTAAACCAACTGAAAACTTGCACTAACTCTTTAACTACAGTGCAATTAATGTTCCAGAGGACTCTTAAAATATTTGTATTTTTGCTCCTTGTATCCTGCAGCTGCAACAAACAAATAACATTTCCGGGTTCAACACCACAGTCTGATTAAAGTGATTCCAAAGGTTCTATGATCTTCTCCTCCCAAACAAACCTGGAATGTGAAAAGCAAGAAAGCAAAGGAAAAATCCCAACTGCTACTCAGTATTTCTCCCATGAGATCATAAGCTCTGCACAAATTCCCAGTAAATTTAAATTATATTCACCATCCACAAGTACTGTGCCCCTACTGCAATCAGTGGCATATCAGATGGAATCACTTTTCGCAATCAGGTCATAACCAAATAAAATGGGGGGGAGACAGAAGGGGAAGTAAAAAGACAAAACTGCTTCATATCAGTTTCATAAGGTATACCTTACATACAGAAGAACAGTTGAAACAGACAAGTAATGAGAAAGAGAACTCAAAGCTGTCAGCATTAAGGAAGCAGTCAGAACAAAGCAACATACGTGCAGCAGCAGGTAACGGAAGGGTTGGAAGACAGCCAAATAAAGTCTGCACATCTGGGAAACACTTAGAAAAAAAGAGTGCACAGCATGAAAGCCAGTGCTGACAAGAAACTCTTCAGGAACTGCCAACCAGGTCAAAGAATTGTTCTGACTGGTAGCTACAGGTAGAAAACTTAGAAACTACTCTGGGGTTAGACACCCTCTACCACCATCCTGTAATTTTTTTGTTTAGATGTCACTGTACCTTTTCCTGACCAAGTCTATTACAATGGCTTCCACAGCCTATAAATCTTGGGTTTGAGCTTTAAATGGTCAAGGGTTACTCCAGGTCTTCACCAAAACAACTCACAGGGCTGGCCAACAACTGAACAGAAATGAATACAATGTTGCTCTCAAAACAAAAAACCCACTTGGATTTAACACAGCTCTAAGCCCAGGCCTTCATAATTTGTGGTATCAATCAAATGTGAATTGTCAAGAGTCTTAAATGTGACAGCCTGACAGATTAATTTGTATGCAAAAAAAATCCCCGAAAGTACTCTCTCTAATACTGAGCTGCCACAGGCATTTACAAGAGATTAATAACTTCATGCAGTGCTTACATTTTAAAATAAGAAGTTTTATTTATAGGGCAATCACATTTTCACAGTGCTGAGACCAGATTCACTGGTGTGGAAAGTAGAGCAAACACTAGATAGTTTGACAGATAGAAAGAGAGAAGAAGTATACTTCTCTGGCTCTCTTCTTTTTTTTTTTCCTCCTCTTTCTTATCTCATTTCCTTCCTTACCTAAATGTCACCCTGGAATTTTTCCATCATTCTTATTTTTCCAGACCAAGCACCTACTTCTTCCGACCACTTGACTGTTCTCCCCCATCGCTTGCTGCAAAACTGTCCCTGCCTCAGCTGCAAACAGAAAAGCAAGTGTCAAGCACCACCTGTCTTCAGAGATTACCATCTGCATAAGATATTCAGTGGTTAGCTCTGGATGGTGAATGCATCTGGTAATTGATATTTTTATCTTTATTTTAGATCAGTAAAACAAAAAATTCCACGTCACCAAACCCTTCAAGGAATGGTGAGACTTTCAACATTTGACACACATTCCAGCGCTAGGAAAAAAAACATCTCTCATGAAACAAAAAGTATTGCTTTGGAAAGTTTGCCATCTAACTGGCTTAGTATGAGGGCAGTCAACTGGTCTGCCTGTGAGACTGCTGCTTGCTGCAGTCCAGATTTAATCCAATTCTACAAGTGCCTAATGTAGAAGGAACTCCACTTCATGACAACAGACTGTACAACAGGCCAGATGGAGCAGCTCCTACAGTCTAGCCTCATGCCAACACTGCTGGTTGACAGCTTCTTCAGAAGGACAGCCTCCAGGAGCATGCAAGA